GCCCGGCCCGGCCGCCGGGAGGGGATGCGGGCTCTGCTGGCCGGCCCCTGCTTACTTCGCCGCGGGGAGAGCTCATCCCGGCCCCGCTCCTCGTTAGACTTGGAGGCACTGCGTGGTTCGTGGGGTTTTATTTACCCGAAGGACTGGCGGAGCCCCGAGCGGACGGCCGCCGAGCGGGAAAGCTCTTTTCTGAACGGGCTTCAAAGTTTACCAGAGAGCCCAGAAGCCCCGGCACTTGCATATTCAGTACCAAAAGACTGACGCCTCATTTTTTTCTTTTTGACAAACTGCGCTTTGAGGGGTGGGCGGGAAATGTGCGGTTTTTATGAAAATGTCAAGGAACTCAGAGCCCCATTAAGCAGTGCTAATTAGTACATGTTCAATGCTAATTGCGTGCCGAGGAAGGAAGAGGCGCTGTCAGCTCTTCCCGGGCGTCAGGGAAGTTTCTGACGTCTCGCGAGTCCCGGCGTCGGGAAGCCCCTGCCGGGAGCTGGAAATTGCTGACAGCTCCCCGGGTAGTGGCCGAGGCCAGGGCGGTGTGGGTCAGCTGTCCTAGCTTCCCTTCAAGTCTGCCCGGCTAAGTGACACCCTTCGTCTTCCTGGGGAGGAGGGAAGCCCCGGCCCGACCCCCTGGCGACGCTGTGGCAGGAGTCATGATACCTTTCAGGTTCAAGATAACAGCCCTGAACAAACTAGGGGCAAGAATATCCCCAGATGTACAGTAGCACCATGGGCCCAGAAATGCCGACCCAACTTCAGATCATGGGAGGAAAACCTGGTTTTGCCACGAGAAGCTTTGTCACCCGCCTAGGAGGGCGGAAACTAAGGACAGCATGAAAAGCTTCCCCAGATTCGAAGCTGGGCACTTGGGGCCTGCAGTTCTGTGGCGACGCCTAAGCCCACAGGCTCTACGAGGTGGCAGAACGGGCGCGATGCCTCCTGGCACGCCTGGCCACCCTGGTCCTTTCCCAGGCGCACCGGAGGCTGCAGCTGTTCTGCCAGCCCCTGGGGCGTTGGTCTCCTCTGGGCCTTCCCCCGGCCAGGGAACTCCCGACTGCCACCCATCTGCTGCCAACTGATGTAGGAAGGTTTATTGAAGACCTCAGCTGAGCTGGCTGTGGTAGCGCACACTTGTGATCCCAGCCAAGGCAGAAGGATTGTAAATTCCAGCCCAGCTTGGGCAATGTAGCAACTTAGTGAGACCCTGTTTTAAAATACAATGAGAAATAAAAATAGGGCCTGGAATTTAGCTCAGTGGTGCCACCACCTGTCTTCCAAGCGTAAGGTCCCGAGTTCGATCCTGGCACCCAGTGAGGATGAAGTGCCAGGCCAAGGCCCTGGGTTCAATCCCCAGTACCATGAAAACAAAAACCGGAAAACCCAACTGTCACAAAGAAAAAATGAAGAACAGGAGGGACTTAAAGAACAAGTAGTCACTTTAATCCCAAGAAACTTCATTTCTGGTTAGCAAGCTGGCCTGGGAATAGGAGGGTGAGACTGGCGGACCCGAGGCTCTCCACCCAGTATCATGAACAGCCGGCCTCGTACCGTGGGGTGAAGTGAGAATGGATGGTGGTGCGGGCCTATAACCCCAAGACTGGAGAGCTGAGGCCGGAGGATGGAGAGTTCAAGCCCTGTTTGGGCAACCTAGCAATTTAATAAGACCCCGTCTCAGAGAGGAGTGCAGGGGCGGGAGATGAACTCAGTGTGAAGGTCATGGAGTCAGTCATGTACCAAACGAATGAACAGCAGGATAAATTTCAAAAGGAAAAGATTCTTAAGTATTTGTGAAAACAAAAACAATGGTACTCTGTGCTTTCTTGGTATAAGAGCCCATCTCTGCAGTAAAAACAAAGGAATTCTAAAGAAATAATTAAAAGACTGGTTCACAAATAAATGTAAGTTTTTCTTTGGGTATGCAGTTCAGGCTGGCCTTCAACTCATGGCAATCCTCCTGCCTCAGCCTCTTGAGTGCTGGGATTACAGGGCTGTGCCATCTTTACTGACAAGAATTTTAATGTATTAAGAACCATGAAAGGCTGGCTGTAGTGGTGCATGACTATAATCTCAACACTTTGGGAAGGCTGAGGCAGGAGGGTTGCAAGTTCAGACCCAGCCTGGGTAACTTAGCAACTTAGCCCTTGTCTCAAAAATTTTAAAAAATTGGGGCCGGGGACTTAGCTCAGTGGTTCTGGTGACTGCCTCACAAGCGCAAGGACCCAAATTCAATCCCCGGTACTAAAAGAATTAAAGAATTGACGGGCTGGGGATTTAGCTCAGTGGTTCCACTGCCTGCCATGCAAGCACAAGGACCCAAGTTCCATCCCTGGTACCAAAAAAAAAAAAAAAAAAAAAAAAAAGGTAAGGGATGTAGCTCAGGGAAAAGGCCCTGGGTTCAATATTCAGTACTGGGGGAAAAAAATCATACAAAAGTCAGGCATAGTGACACATACTTACACTACTACTTAGGAATCTGAGGTAGGAAGATCTGGAGTTCGAGGCCAGATTGGGCAACTCAGTAAGACCCTGTCTCAAAAAGGCTGGGGATGTAGCTTAGCGACAGAACACTCCTGGGTTTGTTCCCAGGTCAGCAAGAAGAAATTTACATTCTAATGATGAAGGTTGGCTACAATAAATTTTAAAACAAGAAGTCTTGCAGTTAAACTCTGAAAAACACACAAAAAACCCAACTGTAGAAACTCAAAATCCAGATATGTAAATTAAAAATAGTTGTCCCTTGATATCCATGGGGAACTGGCTTCAGGACCCCTGCAGACCTGGACAGAACCTGCACGCATCCTCCCAGGCGCTGTTTTTGGTGGTGGTATGATTATCTTCAACTTTTTTTCTATATATTTTTTAGAGTAAACATTTTCAGTAAGTGGCATTACAGCTTTTCTTGGTGGTGCAGCTCAGGAATCTGCTCAGAAACTGAGGCTGAGCTATATCCCCAGCCCCTAGGGGTATCACTGTTTTAAGTCAAGGGCTAGAGTTAGGGTAGGGAGGGGCGGCCTCAGAGGATCACATTTTCCTGTTTGCATTCAATGTCTTCCACATTTCCTACAACAAACATGTTACTGCTTTTCCCCCTTCACTTTCCTGCAATGCTAGGGGTGTGTGGCCTGACTGAGTTACATCCTAGGCCCAAAGTTAGACTTTTATAATCAGGAAAGAACAGAGTTTTCCTTTTAAAGGAAGAGATAAGGAGCAGGGGAGAGCAGGAGCTGCATTAGCCCCGCTGGCTCCAGGGCGCCTCCAGCTCCTCCTCCCCACAGCACTTGAACAGCTGCAGCAGGGTCCATGTTCCTCTGGCTGGTTCTGGGCCCCAGGGTGGCCCCTTGGGAAGCCATTACCTGAATGGGGGGGGGCGTCCTCTCAGACACAGCTGTAGTGGTGGCAAAAGAAAAGTCAGGTCTGGCTCTCTTCCAGTAGGAGTTAGTTTTAATGATTTAAAAATGAGTCCATACAAAAGCAGCACCATACTGGTGCTTCCAGTCCCCAGTCCTAAGATCTCGAGGGTACTATCTCTTCGGCCAGTTGTACCTGAAGCCTCTGTAGGGACAACACAAAGATGAGTTACTTACGGCTGTGTGGCGGGCAGTCTGCTCAGGGTCCAGAGGGCCAAGCTAGACAGCAGAGACCTCCAGAGCAGGTCCTGGGGCATGGCCTGAGGCGGCAGAGCTGTCCTTCCTACCACCAAACCTTGGGCAGCCCCACCTCAGGGTCTGCTTTCCTGTGAGGATTTCATGTATTTTACTAGAACATTCTTCAGCGACACTGACAACCCACACTGGCTGATGTTTTCTCATTCCTAAGAAACAGGCTGGTCTAGGAAAATTTCCCACCTTTTTGCTCTGAGGTGACCCAGGGAACTGCAGCAATGAGGAAAGAGTTCCTGGATTTGAGTCCTGGGATGCAGAAGTGGCCACGGGATGTGTGGCACAGAACTGCCCCCCCCCATGTCAAAAGTAAGTGAGAGGGCCCCTCTGCTGTGGTTCCCTGAAGTGAGGTGGGGCCGCTGGCGCAGGCCTGGCCGAGACCACATACCTGTCTGACTTTCCAGTTGGAAAGGACATACTTTTGTTCCCCACTGACTGTTTCAGTTTTTTGGCTGCAACGCATTTCTGAAAAGAGTTAAGAACCATCAAGCTGACAAGAAGTGGACACAGGAATGCTCCCTAACCTGGACAGGCTGAACGGGCCACACA